CACAGTTCTTTAGCCTCCGGCTCACACGTTTTTGCCTTCACTCAGGAAGGACGGGCTCCAGAGCAGTGTTCCCTCTAAGCTGAGTTAGTGTGAGCCAGCTCACAGTTCTTTAGCCTCCAGCTCACACGTTTTTGCCTGCGCTCAGGAAGGACGGGCTCCAGAGCAGTGTTCCCTCTAAGCTGAGTTAGTGTGAGCCAGCTCACAGTTCTTTAGCCTCTGGCTCACGGGTTTTTGCCTTCGCTCGAGAAGGATGGGGCTCCAGAGCAAACTGATTTATGCAGCAGCCAAATCACTTGCTCATAACTTTGATGCCTGTAGCTCACAAAGCAGAATTTTTGCTCATAAGACTGCACAGCTTAGAGGGAACATTGGGGGCCAGAATGCAGGGGGGGGCTTCAGAGCATCAGGTGTCCCACTCCTGGCATTGCCGCCGCCAGCGTCTTAACACCTCCCCTTCGAAGACCTGGGGCGTGCCTCGTGAAAGAGTCGCCGTCCGCAGGCTCGGCCAGAAAGACGCCCCCGCTGAAGCCATGTCTCTTTCAGATGCCATCGTCAACGAGCAGTACACCTACCTGAAGGGGTTCTTGGAAGACATGGCCACCCCCGAGCACAGCCTCCTGATCCAAGACTGGGAGACGGAAGGGTTGGTTTTCCTGGACTACATCCGAGTCATCGAGATGCTCGGCAGGATTCAGCAGGTACACCGCCGGGCGGAGATGGCGGGTTCCGGAAAAGCACGGGCGGGTGGACATCCCTCCCGGGATGGCGGAGAGCAGAGCTTGGGGCACGTGGGGTGGGCGGAAGAGCACGCAGATCTCTTTGTATAATAGATAAGCAGTGCCACCCTCCACCCCACTGTGGCCCCACAAGCAGCTGCAGAAAAGAACATAAGAGAGAAGCCAGTGTTGGATCAGGCCAGTGGCCCATCCAGTCCAACACTCTGTGTCACACAGTGGCCAAAAATACCAGGTGCCACCAGGAGGTCCAGCAGTGGGGCCAGGACACCAGAAGCCCCTCCCACTATCGCTCCCCCCCCCCAGTACCAAGAAGACAGAGATTCCCTTTCCCCAGACCGAGAGCTCCTATCTATACCTTGTGGCTAAAAGCCCCTGATGGACCTCTGCTCCATATAAGAACATAAGAGAAGCCAACGTTGGATCAGGACGATGGCCAATCCAGTCCAGCACTCTGTGTCACACAGTGGCCAAAAAGACCAGGGGCCATCAGGAGGTCCAGCAGTGGGGCCAGAACCCCAGAAGCCCCTCCCACTGTTGCCCCCCCCTTTAAGCACCAAGAAGACAGAGCATCCCTTGCCCCAGCCTGTGAGTTCATACCTTTACCTTGTGCCTAAGAAATACCAGGGGCCATCAGGAGGTCCAGCAGTGGGGCCAGAACCCCAGAAGCCCCTCCCACTGTTGCCCCCCCCTTTAAGCACCAAGAAGACAGAGCATCCCTTGCCCCAGCCTGTGAGTTCATACCTTTACCTTGTGCCTAAGAAATACCAGGGGCCATCAGGAGTTCCAGCAGTGGGGCCAGGACACCAGAAGCCCCCTCCCACTGTTGACCTCCCGGGGGTGAGGCTGCGCACAGTCGCACAGTCAAGTCCGACTCTTTGCGACCCCAGGGGCCACATCACGCCAGGCCCTCCTGTCTTCCGTCGTGCTCCGGCGTTTGCTTGATTTCATGTTCGTTGCATATGGGACATCTTCCGACCTGAGAGGCTCACCTTCCGGCGTCATACCTTTTAGCCTTTTGTTACTGTCCGTGGGGTTTTCTTGGCAAAGACACTAGAGTGGGTTGCCATTTCCTTCTCCGGTGGATCACGTTTTGCCTGAGTTCTCTGCTGTGGCCGGTCCATCCTGGGGCGGCCCTCCATGGCATAGCCTGCAGCCTCATCGAACCACACAAGGCCCCTCGGCACGTCAAGGCAGTGATCCAAGGGAGAGTTAGTCGTTTTAGTTTATATCTGTCTGTCGGTCTGAAGCAGCGGAACAAAGTTAGAGTCCAGATGGCACCTTTAAGTCCAAGAAAGTTTTGTTCAAGGTATAAGCTTTCATGTGTATGTACACTTCTTCAGATAGAAGAGGAAGAAGAGATTGGATTTATACCCCCCCGCCCTTCACTACCCCAAAGGTGTCTCAGAGCGGCTCACAAACTCCTTTCCCTTCCCCTTCCCACAACAGACACCCTGTGAGGCTGAGAGAGCTCTGACAGAAACTGCTCTTTTCCAAGAACAGCTCTTATCAGAACTACGGGTTGCCCAAGGTCATCCAGCAGCTGCAAGGGGAGGAGTGGGGAATCAAACTCGGTTCTCCCAGATTAGAGTCCGCGCACTTAACCATTACACCAAACTGGTTCTTTATGCAGTAGCCAAATCACTTGCTCCCAACTTTAGAAAAAGAAGAAAAGAAGATTGGATTTATACCCCCCCGCCCTTCACTACCCAAAGGAGTCTCAGAGTGGCTTACAAACTCCTTTTCCCTCCCCTTCCCACAACAGACACCCTGTGAGCAGTGTTCCCTCTAAGCTGAGTTAGTGTAAGCTAGCTCACGGTTTTTTAGACTCCAGCCCACAGATTTTTGTCTTAGCTCAGGAAGGGCTCCAGAGCAAACTAATTTGTGCAGTAACTAAATTGCTTGCTCACAACTTGAAGGCCAGTAGCTCACAGAGCAGAATTTTTGCTCACGAGACTCCACAGCTTAGAGGGAGCATTGCCTGTGAGGTCAGTGGGGCTGAGAGAGCTCTTTATAGAAACTGCTCTTTTTCAAGGACAGCTCTTATCAGAACTACAGCTTGCCCAAGGTCATCGAGCCAGGTGTGAGTAGAGGAGTGGGGAATCAAACCCGGTTCTCCCAGATCAGAGTCCATGCACTTCACCACGACACCAGACTAACTCTTCTACACTGAACTGGCTCCACCAGTGGCTCCTACACCACACGTGCACACACAAGCTTCTACCCAGAACAAAACTTTGTTGGTCTTAAAGGTGCTGCTGGACTCAGACTTTGTTCTGTTAGGAGCTCTGTAAGCTCTTGGAGGATTGGCTACATTAAGGGGGTGTGGCCTAATATGCAAAGGAGTTCCTGCTACAAAAAGAGCCCTGCGATCAGACCGACATGGCGACCCACCTCAGTCTGTGCCTGCGTGTGTAGAAGTTTGTAGGCCACCATTTGGAACTGCTTGAGGACAAAGGTGCTAATGGCTCAGGGGGGGGGGTTCAGATGGAGCTGCTGTGATGGGGAGGGGGGGCTTATCCCCAGTGGAGTGATGCTCTCCTCCTCCTCCTCCTCCTCCTCCTCCTCCTCCTATTGTGTCTCCAGCTGGATTGTTCTGGGTACGAGCTGGAGGATTTGCACACCAGGGTGACGTCCCTCTGCAACAGGATCGAGCAGGTCCCCTGCCACAGCGCCAAGGACAGGCTGGCTCAGTCGGGTAAGGGTCTGCGCGCACGGTCCTTCTCGGGCGAGGGGGGGGGAGGGAGGGCCCTGGGCCTGGTTCGAGACGTCGTGGGGGCTCCAGGGTCCGACCCAGCACCGAAGCCCTGGTGTGTGGCCAGCAATGTTCCCTCTAAGCTGTGGAACCCTGTGAGCAAAAATTCTATTTGGTGAGCTACTGGCATCAAAGTTGTGAGCGAGAGATTTGGCTGCTGCATAAATTATTTGCTCCGGAGCCATCCTCCCTGAGCTAAGGCAAAAATGTCTGAGCTGGAGGCTAAAAAAACTGTGAGCTAGCTCACACTAACTCAGCTTAGAGGGAACATTGGTGGCCAGGTCAGCCCAGGGGGCTCGCTGGGGAGGAAAGCTCATGTGTGCCCCCCCGGGCCTGTGCAGAGAGTCCTCTGAGGCTTTGGCACGACTCCAGAAGGGCTTGTGATCCGTGCTCCCTGCGGAGTCCCGTGAGCAAAAATCCCTCTTTGTGAGCGCCTGGGCATTAAAGTGGCGAGCGAGCGATTGGGCTGCCGCATCGATCAGTTGTCTCCGGAGCCATCCCTCCCTGAGCTGAGACAAAAAACGTGTGAGCCGGAGGCTGAAAAACTGAGCCGGCTCACACTGACTCAGGTTAGAGGGGACCCTTGTTCTAACAGTGGCTGGGCTGTGAAGTTCGCTGGGTGACTGTGGGCAAGCGAAGGTCTCTCCGTCCAGCGCGCTTCCTGGGTGGGGCCGCCGTGAGGGTGGGCTTGCGGGTGGCCCTGGAGAAAGGGCAGGAGAGACGTCAGAACGGACGGACCTTCCACCCAGTTTGGTGTCATGGTTAAGTGCGTGGACTCTAATCTGGGAGAACCGGGTTTGATTCCCCACTCCTCCACTTGCACCTGCTGGGTGACCTTGGGTCAGTCACAAGCTCTGGCACAGCTGTCCTTGAGAAAGAGCAGTTTGTGTCAGAGCTCTCTCAGCCCCGCCCACCTCACCGGGTGTCTGTTGTGGGGAGGGGAAGGGAGAGGAGTTTGTAAGCCGCTCTGAGACTCCAAGTGAAGGGCAGGGTATAAATCCAATCTCCTCCTCCTCCACCCCGTAGCTGCAGGCAAAGGAAACGAGGCCTGTCCAGGAAGCGGAATAAAAGCTTAAATATTGGGGGGGGGGGTTAAAGACAAAGAATCTGAGCACCCCCACCTGCGTCTTCCTGTTTTCCACTCCTCGCCAGCAGGGTCCCAGCCAAGGCTCCCTCTAAGCTGTGGAGCTTTGTGAGCGAAAATTCTACTTTGGGAGCTGCCGGCATTAAAGCTGTGAGCGAGCGATTTGGCTACTGCATAAATTACTTTGCTCTGGAGCCCTCCTTCCTGAGCGGAGACAAAAACCTGTGAGCTGGAGTCTAAAATACTCTGGGCTAGCTCACACTCACTCAGCTTAGAGGGAACGCTGGAGACAGGAGGCTGGACTGGATGGACCCTCCCTGGTCTGATCCAGCAGGGCTCTTCTTATGCTCTTATTGGGGGAAGGCTTTGGCCTCCCTGCCCTGTTGTTGGCTGTCCGGAGGAACTGGTTGGCCACTGTGCGAGACAGGCAGTGCTCCCTCTAAGCTGCGGAGTCCTGTGAGTGAAAATTCTACTTTGCAAGCTGCCAGCATTAAAGCTGTGAGTGAGCGATGTGGCTGCTGCGTTATTTGCTTTGCTCCGGAGCCCTCCTTCCTGAGCAGAGACAAAAATGTGTGAGCCGGAGGCTACAAAACTGTGAGCCAGCTCACACTGGCTCAGCTTAGAGGGAACACTGTTTGTGATAACAAACTCTGAAACCCAGTCCACAGTGCTTTGCTCTTTTTTCACGGCAGGGCTCAGTTATGTGCCTGCAGAGACTTCTGTTGTCGCCTGTAGGTCGGGGTGGGTGGGTGTGTGTTTCCAGATAGAATGCCCGTCGTGTTGCTGACCGTGGGGTTTCTCCCACCTTTCTATCCCCCCCTCCCAGAGATGGCCAAGAGCATCGCCAACATCCTGCGCGTGGTGCTGAGCTTGCAGCACCCTCCGGACTCTGCCTCGGACTCCACCCCCGACGTCCAGAGGGTGCCCTTGCGCCTGCTGGCCCCCCACATCGGCCGGCTCCCCATGCCTGAGGACTACGCCCTGGACGAGCTCCGCGGCCTCACGCAGTCCTACCTGCGGGCCTTGACTGTGAGCCAGTGAGGCAAGTCTGCCTCTGGACGCGGGCAGGCCCGGTGATCCTCATTTCCGCTCGGGGCCCCAGTGTGCGGGGCTGGACTGGACACACACCCTCACCTGCCGCATAGGACCTCTTTCTGCCCGCCGACGCTCCTTGGCTGCCTCCCGCGTAACCACAGAATTGGAGCACACAGATCCGGCCGGGGGGGGGTGTCTCTCGAGCCGCTCGCCTTCCCCGGTGCTTTTTCTAGTGCTAATAAAGCCTTTGCTGCCGCCGAAGCCGGCTGGGGGTGCCCGTCGGGCCCGTGACCATCAGAATCGCCGAAGTGACGAGAAGAGTCATCGGGAGCCGCGCGCTCAGCACCACTTTCATCGGAGGGCTTCTTTTGGGCACGGGAGGGGGGGGGACGCTTGGGACGCGTCTCTGCGATTTCGGAGGGGAGGGAGCGTCTCCACCGTGCTCGTGCCCAAGGGGAGTGGGTCCGAGCCCAGCCGTGCAGTCCATGGGAGGAGGGACCTCTCCGCTCAGTGCCACGAGCCCAGCTTTGGCCAGGGAGGCAGCCCAAAGGGCCGAGCCCTCCATGGAGTGGGCGGGCGGGCCTTTTCTTCCGGGGGGGGGGGGGACGTGTGTGAGACATAAAAGGGCCTCGGGCTACCGAGAAGGGGGGGGGCTGGAGCGCTCCGCGTTGGAGACCGCAGCAGGTTTTCAGGGGCAGGGAATGGCAGCGGCTTCTGTCTGAGCGGCAGTGCCAGGCGGGCTCTCCTCGGCTGATGCCGGGACATGGCCTGCTCAGCTCAGCTCAGGCAGCAGCTGTCGGCCTGGCGGGGGGTGTGTGTCTCCCTCCCGGTGACGAGCCGCCTTGCGATGTGGTTCTGTCGCACTTGCAAAAAAGAGGGGCGGGCTTTGAGGGCAAGAGGCGGTTCGGCAAGAAGGCAACAGGAAGCCGGTCCCGTATGTCTTGTTTCCTTTGGGCCTCATAGCCGGAGTCGGAGCGAGGCGAGCTTGGGGGGAGGGCCGGGGGCGCGTGCGCGCGGGTGCGTCGAGTGTCAGCAGCAGGGGGGGTATGCATGAAGCTTCTGTAAAGGTTTTTATTAAGGAACTATAAATAAATGAATCCAGATTATTTTCGTCTCTGTTTTCTGGAAATACTTTCTAAGAAAAAAAAGAAATAAAACGTTTATAGCATTCTCCTGGTTGGTCTCTCTTCTTTCCCCTCCCTCGATTGGAAAAAAAAAAAACAGGAAAACCGGGATCGACTCACCAAAGAATATCTCCCAGCTCTGCTGCCCCATTGTCCCAAATAAAGGGGGGGAAAGCCAGTGTACAATGCCTGGGGCTGGTCTGGGCTCGCTTCGGGTTTTGCTTCTGTCCTCTCCCGAGCCCGTCACTGAAATATAATAAAGCAAGGGTGGCCAGGGGTCATTTCGTAGGAAAAGAGGTGCAGGAGCTCATTAGCATAACTCATTAGCATAACTTATTTGCATATGCCACACCCCCTGACATCACCGGAAGTGTGTCAGAAGGCAACACCCACCGCTCAGGCTCCACTGGACTGTTTTGGATTGCTAGCTGTCGGGGGGGGGACACACACGCAGATCTGCCCTTGCAGAGGAGGAAGAGCTTGTGCCTGAATAAAACTTGGTCTGAAAGGTGCCACTGGACTATTTAGGGGCCAAGGGGGGGCTCTGCAACTTACCTGGCTGCTTCTTGCTCTTTCTGAGGGCTGCTGGGAGCAGGGGGCGGGGCTTGCTGCATGTGCCCGCCCCCTGGGCTCTTTACTGCTGGAGCTCGGTTCCTGTGCGCTCCTGTTCAGTCGCACAGTCGAGTCCGACTCATCGCGACCCCATGGACAAGATCTCGCCAGGCCCTCCTGTTTTCCGCCGTCCTCTGAAGGTGGCTCAATTTCATGTTCGTTGCATCTATGACACTGTCTAACCATCTCCTCCTTTGCCGTCCCCGTCTTCTTTGACCTTCAATCTTTCCCAGCATCAGGGTCTTCTCCAGGGAGTGCTCCCTTCTCATTTGGTGGCCAAAGTATTTGAGCTTCAGTTTCATTATCTGGCCTTCCAGGGAACAGTCAGGATTGATTTCTTTTAGGATTGACTGATTTGATCTTCTTGCAGTCCAAGGGACTCTCAAGAGTCTTCTCCAGCACCATAGTTCAAAAGAATCTATTCTTCGGCGCTCGGCCTTCCTTATAGTCCAACTCTCGCAGCCATACATGACTACTGAAAGACTATTGCCACCACTGCTCTAGGCTGATCCTGCCTTGCACAGGGGGTTGGACTAGATGGCCTCTCGGGCCCCTTCCAACTCTGTGATTCAATGATTCAAAGCCTTGGAATTACATTGTGGAATTTGCTGCCAGAGGCTGTAGTGATGATGATGATAGGGTATTCTTAATTTTAAAGTGAATCAGCAGAGTATTAAAGAGGCAGAGTCCATGGTGTGTTTAAAAGAATAAAAGTGTACTACAACCCAGCATGGGATCAGTGTTCCCTCTAAGCTGAGTTAGTGTGAGCTGGCTCACTTTTTTAGCCCCCGGCTCACACATTTTTGTCTTAGCTCAGGGAGAATGGCTACAGAGCAAACTAATTTATGCAGGAGCCAGATGGCTTGCTCACAACTTTAATGCCAGTAGCTCACCAGGTAGAATTTTTGCTCACAAGACTCCAAAGCTTAGAGGGAGCATTGCACGGGATGTAAAATAACAAAGAGCTTATATACCTACATCCTTACAGCTAGACTGAAAATGGCAGAAGAGAGGCTTCTTCTCCTTGCTCAGAACAAAGAACCACAAGATGGGAAGAGAAGCCATAAAATGCTAATACTTGGCACTTTGGTCTCCAATCAGAACTAGATCTGAACTTCCCGGGCTTTCTAACTGTCTAAAACAGATTGGACACAAACAAACATGTGACTTAACAAACATACATTAACCCAGTAAATACTGAAAAGTGTTTTAACTTGTAACACCCAACAGATGGCCATAGGCACAGGTGACGTTAAAAGGGGATTAGACAGGTTCCTGGAGGGTATCTGTGGCTACTCACAGGGAACCTCTACATCCAGAGGCACTCAGCCTCTGGATACTGGTGCGAGGGGGCAAAACGCAATGCAAATCACCAAAAATGTCTTCCGGCATTGGTTAACGTTTGGCGCTTGTTGACACAGGGGGAGCCAATAGGTCAGATAGCGCCAAAAGTGGACTAGGAAAATTCATGGATCCACCCCTTTAAAAAAGAATCCCCCCTCAGGTGGGGCCCAGGAAGGCTGCCACAAGGCATGGATCCGTGAACAAAAAAACAAGGCATAAAATGGAAACTGCTTAAAACAGCACCCTCGGCTCAGTACTGATTTTCTAGCCATGGTGCCTCACTAGGGCGTCCGTGTTCAGAGTCAGCACACTTCTGATTGTCCGTTGTCGGGGGCACCCATCCGGTAAGGCTTGGGGGCAACTGCTCCACCAGCGCTGTAAGAAGAAGAGATTGGATGCACACGTCCCCACCCTTCCCTCGAAGTCTCAGAGCGGCTTACAATCACCTTCCCTTCCGCTCCCCGCAACAGACACCCTGTGAGGTAGGCGGGGCTGAGAGAGCTCTGAGAGAACTGGTGACTGACCCGAGGTCACCCAGCTGGCTGCATGTGGAGGAGGAGTGGGGAATCGAACCCGGTTCTTCAGATTAGAGTCCAGGCTCTGAATGACCACACCAAACTGGGCGATGGACCAAGGGTGGAGGGCCTGGGGCTCACCTGTGCTCAACGTAAGTGGTGAACCGAAAGGACTTCGGCATTCAGCCAAAATGAAAAACTGCAGGCATAGCAGCAAGGATTCCAGGGGTGTGGGAGATGTGAGCTGGCTGGGACCCCCCGAGATAACTGGTTCAGTGGCACTGTGGGTTCCTCCCCTGTGGCATCCGCAGCTGCCTGAAAAGATAACTCACAAAGAAATTCCTTCACAGTCCAGGGGCACCTTTAAGACATGATTGAGGTTTATAAGACTATGAATGGGAAAGAGCAGGTAGAGAAAGAGGTACTTTTCTCCCTTTCTCACCCCGGTTATGTTTAAAAGGAGCATAGCTCCCACAGTTTCTTGTTCTGGTTTCTTAATGCGTTTGAGTGCTTGTTCGTTACTTCCAATAAAGCTGAATCACTTGCTGAATCACTCTACGAGTCCTTTGTTAGCGCGATCTAACATATTGACCCTTACAAGAGTCAGATTTATGTGGACTAAACAATTTCTCCCAGGATGGATTGGTTTAAATCAGTGACATATATTGATTTAAATTACCAAGAAAAACCCTGATTTAAATCATTGCTTTAAAATACATTTTTTACATTTATTATTTAGATGCTTCATAAATAAACATATTAATTGGTTGCCTTAACTAAAAGAACACAGACTGTAATCCTAATAACATTTTCCTGGGAGTACAATCTATTGAGTAACATGGCACTTATTTCCAAGTAGACCTGCTTCATGTAGGTCCCCAGTAGATTTAAAACTGAAGAGAATCTTTTTACAATCTCAACAATATGTTATAATATATGAGTTAATATTGTTTTTGCTTCATAAAAAATGACATACCATATATTGCATTTTTGTTTATAATTTATTACACAGGAGTCTAAATAGAAATAGAATCTGCAGCCATTCTGGATGGACAACTAAAAGGTGACTCTTTTTTCCAGCGCTCTTTTCTTCTTTAGTTTGCTCCTTCTAACTACCCTGCCCTGCCCTATAAATGTACATAATCTCAATGAGAAGCTGTCCTCCTCCTCCTCCTCCTCCTCCTCCAGCCCTTTCCAAAGCTGCTCTCTCTTTCGGTTCTCCCCGCTGCTGACTTGCCGGCTCGCTATTTCCCCCTCCCACCTTCAGCCAGGTAAGGGAAATCCATCAGTGGCTGCCAACGGAGAGGCGGGCTGAGTTATGCCCCAGCCGGACCTGCCACATGCATGAGAGCCAGTGTGTGCAGCAGCAAGAGGAGCCGAGCCGCTTCCCTGACTCCCAGAGCTGTGGGCGACTCCATCAGGCACACGGAGAGCCTGCCTGCAGTTGCCTCGCCAGCATGGCGCATCGAGCCAGAGGCTGACCGGTCCTTTGGGTAGCTCGACAGGTCTCCTCTCCATTGCTCGGAAGATCCCCCACCTTTACCTCAGATTAACTTTGGCAAGGGTGACTATGCCTCCGAACCGCTACGCCTGGACTCTCCTGTTTTCGGTGACTTTCCTGGAGCTGATCTGCTGGGTGCCAGGTAAGACGTCCTTTCCCCACCGCTTTAGTAGCACAGACAGGGAGACAGAGAGGGAGAGGGAGCCGCGTGGATGTATGTCAGAGTTCAGGGCTCAACGCTCTCTCTAAGCTGTGGAGTCTTGTGAGCAAAAATTCAACCTTGTGAGCTCCTGGCATTAAAGTGGTGAGCGAGCGATTTGTTGTTGTTGTTCAGTCGCACAGTCGAGTCCGACTATTCGTGACCCCATGGACCAGATCCCGCCAGGCCTTCCGGTCTTCCGCCGTCCTCTGAAGTTGGCTCAATTTCGTGTTCGTTGCATCTATGACGTCTAACCATCTCATCCTTTGCCGTCCCCGTCTTCTTTGACATTCAATCTTTCCCAGCATCAGGGTCTTCTCCAGGGAGTGCTCCCTTCTCATTGGGTGGCCAAAGTATTGGAGCTTCGGCTTCAGGATCTGGCCTTCCAGGGAACAGTCAGGGTTGATTTCTTTTAGGATTGACTGATTTAATCTTGTTGCAGTCCAAGGGACTCTCAAGAGTCTTCTCCATCACCATAGTTCAAAAAAATCTATTCTTCGGTGCTCGGTCTTCCTTATAGTCCAACTCTCGCAGCCATACATTTTGGCCGTTGCATAAATTAGTTTGCTCTCAAGCCCTCCTTCCTGAGGTCAGACAAAAATGTGTGAGTCTAAAAAACTGTGAGCTGGCTCACGCTGACTCATCTTAGAGGGAACACTGGTTCAGGGGTGTTCTGGCCCTTCCCTTACTGGGCCAGTTCCTGGGGGTCTGCTGGTCTCCAGGGGCAAGCTGAGCGGAGTGACCCCTGGCAGGGCTGCAGAGTTCATGTGGCCCAGACCTGGGCCTTAGCAATGGCAACAACAGGCATGGGCTTTCCGGAAGGGTCCATGTGGCCCTTCCCAGCCCCACAGGGGCAAGGAGGAGGAGGAGATTGGATTTATACCCCCTGCCCTCCACTCCCTGAAGGTGTCTCAGAGCGGCTTACAAACTCCTTCCCCTTCCCCTCCCCACAACAGACACCCTGTGAGGTAGGTGGGGCTGAGAGAGCTCTGGCAGAAACGGCTCCTTTTTCAAGAACAGCTCTTGCCAGACCTATGGCTCGCCCAAGGTCATCCAGCTGCTGCAAGGGGAGAAGAGACCTTTGCTTGTAAGTGAAGCTGTGCCAGTGTCTCGGTCGGCAAGACACTGATCCAATGAGTCCCAAGTGGTCGACTCTTGGTCCTTGTCTGTTTTGGAAAGAGGCCGTGGCTCAGTGGCAAAACACCTGCCTGGCACACAGAAGGTCCCAGGTTCAATCCCCAGCATCTCTGGTTAAAAGGACCAGGGCAGTAGGCGATGGGAAAGATCTCTGCCTGAGACCCTGGAGAGCTGCTACCACCCTGAGTAGACTCTGATGGCATGATGGTCTGATTGTGCGATCCAAACTATATGCACCTTTCCTGCCTTTCTACCCCAGTTCTGACAAAGAGTTCATTCCCTGAACACCTCATATCTTCTAATAACACTTTCAACCAAGAAAGTGTGTGTGAAGAGTGACTTGACAGGGACTCTGACAAAGCCCCTGGAAGTCATGGCGGCTGACTGTGGGTGCGCCTGGAAGTCACGGAGACCTCTGGTGAGACTGACCCCTCCTTGGGGCCTGGAGGATATCCAGAGATGTGGCTGAATCAAGCCTGCCCCCGCCTCCCATCTCTGGTATTCCAAGGAGGTCTCCCATCCGAGTACTTGCCAGAGTCGACCCTGCTTAGCTTCCGAGATTAGGCTTGCTTGGGCTATCCAGGTCAGGGCTGTAGGGTGGGGTGCGGGGATAAGCTTTTGAGAGTCAGCACTCCCTTTGTCAGATCCAGAGCTGCCAGCAGTGGGATCTGAACTCAGGTCCAGCTGTCTATCAGCCGGGCCCCTCCGGCTTTTTCCGCCGCACCCCACTCTCCTCCCCCTCCTCCCTCCGAGCTCCCAGCCGGCAGCAGGAGCCGCAAGATCCGTCCTTTCCTCGGCCTGAAAGTTTAATGACGGGTGTCCCGTTTCACTGGCAGGCGTTTCTATTGACATCTTGCAAGGTTCGCTTACAGATCAAGACACACCATTTCCAATTACTCACCAGGTGCATTTCCAAAGACCGGGTACTCTGCCTTGCACGGCCGATTGAATTGCAATTTAGCTGATGGCTCTTCCTTGCCATTCCAAAACGCCGGCGCGGAGGCCAGGTTTCTATGGAGCGTGTTCAGACCTCCCCGGGCTCTCTTTCCCCCTTTGGAAATGAAATCACTAGCCGCAAGAGGAGGTCCAGGGAGAGGGTTCAGACACAAACATGAAGTTGGAGAGGAGGAGGAGAGGAGGAGATTGGATTTATACCCCCAGCCCTTCACTCAGAGTCTCAGAGGGGCTTTCAAACTCCTTTCCCTTCCCCTCCCCACAACAGAGGTCGGTGGGGCTGAGAGAGCTCTTTCGAGAATTACTCGTGAGAGAAAAGCTCTTGTCAGAACTCTGGATTGCCGAAGGTCATCCACCAGGTGCGAGTGGAGGAGTGGGGGATCAAACCTGGTTCTCCCAGATTAGAGTCTGCACACTTAACCATTACACCAAACTGGCTCTCCTACACCAAACATTTCATAGTGAATTGGATCATCAATCCATCAAGGTCAGTACTGTTTATTCAGACTGGCAGCGGCTCTCCAGGGTCTTTCCCATCACCTCCTGCCTGGTCCTTTCAAATGGAGATGCTGGGGATTGAACCTGGGACCTTCTGCGTGCCAAGCAGAGGCTCTTCCACTGAGCCACAGCGGAGGTCTTTCACACCACCACCTGCCTAGTCCTTTTAACTGGAGATGCCGGGGATTGAACCGGGGACCTTCTGCATGCCAAGCAGACACTCTTCCACTGAGCCACAGCGGAGGTCTTTCACACCACCACCTGCCTAGTCCTTTTAACTGGAGATGCCGGGGATTGAACCGGGGACCTTCTGCATGCCAAGCAGACACTCTTCCACTGAGCCACAGCGGAGGTCTTTCACACCACCACCTGCCTAGTCCTTTTAACTGGAGATGCCGGGGATTGAACCGGGGACCTTCTGCATGCCAAGCAGACACTCTTCCACTGAGCCACAGCGGAGGTCTTTCACACCACCACCTGCCTAGTCCTTTTAACTGGAGATGCCGGGGATTGAACCGGGGACCTTCTGCATGCCAGGCAGAGGCTCTGCCACTGAGCCACAGCCCCTCTTTATAGCTCTCCAGGGTCTCAGGTTGAGGTCTATGTTATGAGAGGACACCATTTTCGAATGAATCTGGAATGGGACCCCGCATACCCTTGTGTGTGGGACTCGTATTTATCTGCTACTTTGTCCATCACAACGTGGTCCCAACATTTATTTCTCCATTGAGCAATGGGTGGAGGATCAGGATTTTCCCATGAGGCGGCAATAGAAAGCCGTGCCGTGGCTATTACTGTGGCGGCTAATTCAGTCGTTTTGACTTCGTTTTCATCAATGCTATATCTTGAATTATCTTGCTTCTTAATTCATGGCGGTGTAGTCTTGATGTCACTGTGGCCTGGATCCAGGGGGGCAGATCAGCCGTATCAAGGTAAGGGGCCATTTGGGGGGCTAGGCTGAAGGAATGAGAACGCAGCGTGAGTGGCTCTTTGCACGTCTGGATGTGTGTGCATGCATGCATCCATCCTGACCAATGTTCCCTCCAAGCTATGTGGTCCTGTGAGCAAAAATTCTATTTTGTGAGCCACTGGCATTAAAGTTGTGAGCAGGTGACATGGCTACTGCATAAATTAGCTTGCTCGGGAGCAGTGTTCCCTCTAAGCTGAGTTGGTGTGAGCTAAAAAAGTAAAGGTAAAGGTTCCCTTGCTCGAAAGCCAGTCGAATCAGACTCTAGGGTTGCAGTGCTCATCTCCGTTTCAAAGCCGAAGAGCCAGTGCTGTCCGAAGAGGTTTCCGTGGTCATGTGGCCGGCATGACTAAACACCAAGGCGCATGGAATGCTGTGACCTTCCCACCAAAGTGGTACCTATTCATCTACTTGCAATTTCTTGCTTTCGTACTGCTAGGTGGGCAGGAGCTGGAACTAGAGACGGGAGCTCACTCCGTCACGCGGCACACCCGGGTCCCGAACTGCTGAACTACCAACCTTCCACAGCCTGCAGTTCAGCGTCTTAACCACTTGAGCCACCGCAGCTCCTTGGTGTGAGCTAGCTCACAGGTTTTTAGCCTCCGGCTCATACATTTTTGTGTTTGCTCAGGAAGGATGGCTCCAGAGCAAACTGATTTATGCAGTAGCCAAATCGCTCGCTCACAACTTTAGTGCCAGTAGCTCGCCAAGTAAGATTTTTGCTCACAAGACTCCGCAGCTTAGAGGGAGCATTGCTCTGGAGCCCTCCTTCCTGAGCTAAGATCAAAATGTGTGAACTAGAGGCTAAAAACCATGAGCTGGCTCACCCCAACTCAGCTTAGAGGGAACACTGATTCCTGACCCTGCCTTTTTCTCTCTCCTGCACTCGCCAGACTGTTCCGGGGCTCAGGGCAAGTTTGCCTACAAGCTGCTCAAAGACCTGTTTGCCAACTACTCCAATGCTCTGCGGCCAGTGGAAGACACGGACCGCGCCCTCAACGTCACTCTCCAAGTCACGCTTTCCCAGATCATCGACATGGTGAGGATCTGCAGGAGTGGGCACGGGGGGAGGGGGGAGCAGGCAGGCTGATAATTCTCAAGGGGCAGGTGTCATTTCGTAGAATAAGAGGTGCAGGAGCTCATTGGCGTAACTCATTGGCATAACTCATTTGCAAAGGCCACACCCCTGACATCACCGGAAGTGTGTCAGAAGGCAACACCCACCGCTCAGGCTCCACTGGACTGTTTTGGATTGCTAGCTATTGGGGGGGGGAACATGCAGATCTGTCCCTCACAGAGGAGGGAGAGCTTGTACCTGAATAAACCTTGGTCTTAAAGGTGCCACTGGACTCTTTTAGATTGCTAGCTGGGGGGGGGGGAATGCAAAGATCTGTGCAGGAAGGAAGGAGGGAGGGAGGGAAAAAAAGAAGGAAAGAAGGACGGAAAGAAAGAGGGAGAGAAGGAAATTACGAGGGAAAGGGAAAGGGGAAGCAAAGGGCAGGACGTTTTTACTTATTTGCTCAAGCGGCAGAGCGGTGAAGGGAGCAGAAATCTTGGTTAGCTTTCAGTCCCAGGAGTTATCTTCCTCATCAGTACAGCCCCACGGATAAAGAAGGGGTTACACAGCATAATATATCCAGGTCTCTGCCCTGAGAAGATTACAGTCTAATCTTGATCTAGAGGGGTCAGGCTCAGAAGCAGGCCCATAGCCAGGGTTTTGTGGCTTGTGGGGCAAATCTTTTTCTGGTGGGGCTGAAGTTCTCAGTGCAGAAAGAAAAGCCTTTTGGCCAATAGAAAGCTGTCACCAGGATAGATCTCTAAATTGCAAGCTGTCAACCACTTTAGATGACAGTTCTCAGCTGCTGCAAGTTAATCCCTTCTGCCAGCCGAAGCAACAATTCTGAGAAGAAGCCGGCAAGGGGGTGGTGTGATGACTTTTAGTCAAGAAAGCCGAGAGGCAGAAAAACTCTCTTTAAGCCAGTTTGGAGCTCAGGGCAGTTTGGAGCCAGTTTGGTGTGACAGCCAGTTTGGTGTAGTGGTTAAGTGTGCGGACTCTAATCTGGGAGAACTGGGGTTCAATTCCCCACTCCTCCACTGGCAGCTGCTGGATGACCTTGGGCAAGCCATAGTTCTGTCAGAGCAGTTCTCTCAAGGACAGTTCTGTCAGAGCTCTCTTAGCCCAACCTACCTCACAGGGTGTTTGTTGGGGGGAGGGGGAGGGAAAGGAATTTGTAAGGTACTCTGAGATGCCGAGTGAAGGGCTGGGGTATAAATCCAATCTCTTCTTTGTCTTCTCTTCTCTAAAGGAGACCAGTTTCTCAACACAGAAAGGATCCTAGAGGTCACCTACTCCAACCTACTTGCTGAGAGTAGGAATTAGTCAGCTACAACACCCCACTCTGCCTAAAGGAGTGTACACCTTTAAAAAAATGTTTTACAATGACTGAAAACAGCATTTGCAGGAGAAATTCTTGTGGGGCTGTGCCGTTAAGAAAGGGGGTGGATCCCCCCAAAGCCCCACTGTAGCTATGGGCCTGGGGCCATGCCGTAGGCCAGCAGGTGCTGACAGGTCTTGACAATATCCTTGGGGTAAAGCAGGGGATTTTTGAAAAAGCTGTGAAGGAGAAACGGAAAGTAGGATAAGGGCTGAAAACAGGTGAACTCCTCATTGACATCTAGAAACTTGATAGCAATGCCAGAAGTACAAGTCCCTCATTCCCAGAGGCAAAAGAAGACCCTGCTGGGTCGTTTTAGAAGAAGAGGAGGAGGAGGAGGAGATTGGATTTATACCCCGCCCTTCACTACCCAAGGGAGTCTCAGAGCAGTTTACAATCTCCTTTCCCTTCCTCTCCCAGCAACAGACACCCTGTGAGGTAGGTGGTGCTGAGAGAGCTCTTTCGAGGACTGCCCTTGAGAGAACTGCTCTGAGAGAACTTGTGAATGGCCCAAGGTCACCCAGCTAGCTGTATGTGGAGGAGTGGGGAATCAAACCCGGTTCTCCCAGATTAGAGTCCGCGCACTTAACCACTACACCAAACTGGCTTTCGTGTGCATACACACTTTGTCAAATACACTGGAATGGAATAGAGTTCAAATTTATAAACAGAGGCTGGACAGCAAATTAACATGCTGACGTAACACTGTTCTTTTGAACTGGGAGGATCCCTAGGTGTGTTTATTGAGTTTGGTGTCATGGTTAAGTGCGCGGACTCTAATCTGGGAGAACTGGGTTTAATTCCCTACTCCTTCACTTGCACCTGCTGGATGACCTTGGGCAAGCCGTAGTTCTGATAAGAGCTGTCCTTGAAAAATAGTATTTTCTGTCAGAGCTCTCTCAGCCCCACCTGCCTCACAGTGCAATCTCTGAATATTTAACTATTCTTATCAATTTTCCAACATACTCCACCCTCCAAAGCATCCATTTTCTACAGGGGAATGGGTTCCTGTCATCTGTAATTCCAGGGGATCCCCAGGTCCCACCTGGAGGCTGGCATCCCTAGGTCCACCCCAGAGCTGATTGTAAAGAAAAACACCCTGGCCGTTCCTGGATGTCCCTCTGAGTGACTCTCTGGCATTTTCCAGGATGAGAGGAACCAGATCTTGACAGCTTACCTGTGGATCCGGCAGGTCTGGGTAGACGCCTACCTCACCTGGGACAAGGAAGCTTATGACGGCATCGACTCCATCCGCATACCGAGCAGCTACGTCTGGAGGCCGGACATCGTCCTCTACAACAAGTAGGTTTTCCTCGAGGGGGTGTTGTTTGCGATCCAATTTCCCTGAGACTCAGAGGTTGGCGTGTGCATCAAGCGCCAGCAAGTTGCAGTTGATTTATGGCCACCCCAGCAAGGGGCTTCCAAGGCAAGGGAGAAGCAGAGGTGGTTGGCCACTGGCTTCCTCTGCAGAGCCTTCCTTGGTGGTCCCTCTTCCAAGTACCGACCCTGCTTATCTCCCGACTTATGGCGACCCCAGCAAGGGGCTTTCAAGGCAAGGGAGAGGTAGAGGTGGTTGGCCATTGCCTTCCTCTGCAGAGCCTTCCTTGGTGGTCTCCCGTCCAAGTACCGACCTTGCTTAGCTTCTGACTTATGGCCACCCCAGCAAGGGGCTTCCAAGGCAAGGGAGAAGCAGAGGTGGTTGGCCATGGCCTTCCTCTGCAGAGCCTTCCTTGGTGGTCTCCCTTCCAAGTACCGACCTTGCTTAGCTTCTGACTTATGGCCACCCCAGCAAGGGGCTTCCAAGGCAAGGGAGAAGCAGAGGTGGTTGGCCATTGGCTTCCTCTGCAGAGCCTTCCTTGGTGGTCTCCCTTCCAAGTACCGACCCTGCTTATCTCCCGACTTATGGCAAACCCACCAAGGGGCTTTCAAGGCAAGGGAGAGGTAGAGGTGGTTGGCCATTGGCTTCCTCTACAGAGCCTTCCTTGGTGGTCTCACTTCTGACTTATCCACCCCACCTCATTTGGAATACTGTGTGCAGTTCTGGTCACCACCCCTCAGAAAGGGTATCATAGCATTAGAAAAAGTGCAGAAAAGGGCAGCTAGAATGATAAAAGGCACTAGAATGATAAAAGGGTTGGAACACTTTCCCTACGAAGAACGATTAAAGCACTTGGGGCTCTTTCGCTTGGAGAAACGACGGCTGAGGGGTGACAGGATCGAGGTTTATAAGATTATGCATGGGATAGAGCAGGTCAAAAAGGAAGTACTTTTCTCCCTTTCTCACAATACTTGTGGGCACTCCATGAAATTGCTGAGCGGTCGGGTTCGAACAGACAAAAGGAAGTACTTCTTCACCCAAAGAGTGATTAACTCATAAGAACATAAGAGAAGCCAATGTTGGATCAGGCTAATGGCCCACCTAGTCCAACACTCTGTCACACAGTGGCCGAAAATACCAGGGGCCCTCAGGAGGTCCAGCAGTGGGGCCAGGACACTAGAAGCCCTCCCACTGTTGCCCTGATCCAACATTGGCAAGGGTTGGAAAATGTGCGGAGGAGGGTAGGCCTGTCAAAGGGTAGGTATGAGCCAGGGAAACTTAATGGAACCTCCGGGATGGGAGGCAGTGTACCTGAGCACCAGATGCTAGGAATGAAGAAGAAAAGAGAGATGTTGCCAGGAACATTATGGGCTTGATAGAGCCTTGGTCTGATCCAGCAGGGCAATGCTTACACAGCTGTCCTGGAATGTGATCCTGCCCCGGCTGGTGCCAGAAGCGAGGCCTTCGGGTCCTTTGCCCTCTGCAAGCACCAGCTGAATGCAAACACGATACGACCAAGCTGTGTGAAGAAGCTTGCAAAGGCCTGAGGGTCGTGCATGGCCCCCAGTGGCTGCCAGACGCTGCTCCCAAGGAGGCTTTTGTAGTTTGGCAGGGAATGTTGACAATGGAAGAGGAGGAGGAGGAGGAGGAGGAGATTGGATTTATACCCTGCCCTTCACTACCCAAAAGGGTCTCAGAGCGGCTGACAAACTCCTTTCCCTTCTCCTCTCCACAACAGGCACCCTGTGAGGTAGGTGGGGCTGAGAGAGCTCTCTCGAGGACTGCCCTTGAGAGAACAGCTCTGAGAGAACTTGTGACTGACCCAGGGTCACCCAGCTGGCTGCATGTGGAGGAGGAGTGGGGAATCAAACCCGGTTCACCCAGATTTAGAGTCTACTACGCTCTTAACCACTACACCAAACTGGCTCTCAGAAACAATGCGAGGGGAGGTTGGGAAGGCCTTATTTACATCATTCATACCCTGCCTTTTCCCCCAGTGGGGCCACAAAGTGGTTTCCATTCTTCTCTCCCCCTCGATTTTATCATCCCAACAGCCCTGTGAGGTAGGGTAGGCTGAGAGTGTGTGGCCAGCCTAAGGAATTTAGCACGGTTCATGGAAGTTACTTTGTCAAGTAAGATTGAGATTCTTATAAAGGTAAAGGTTTCCCTTGCTCGTAAGCCAGTCGAGTCCGACTCTAAGGGGGCGGTGCTCATCTCCGTTTCCCAGCCAAAGAGCCAGCGCTGTCCGAAGATGTCTCCATGGTCAAATGGCCGGCATGACTAGACGCCGAGGCGCACAGAACACCGTTACCTTCCCACTGAAGCGGTACCTATTTACCTACTTGCAATTTCTTGCTTTCAAACTGCTAGGTTGGCAGGAGCCGGGGACAGAGACGGGAGCTCACCCCATCATGTGGCACACTCGGGTCTCAAACTGCCGAACTACAGACCTTCCAGTCTGCAATTCAGCATCTTGACCCCTGAGCCACCGTGGCCCCATTCTTATAATGGACCTTAGATTTCCTATGTTGTCTTGATACGTTTTAGAGATGTTATATTCCTCCCTAACCCCCCTCCCGTAAATCTGCTCTTTGACCTACTAATTATCTCAGTCACGGGTCTGTACCATCCGTATCTTTCGGGAAAAAGGGTAGAAGTCAGTGCAACGCACTGACGGCTCAGGTATAGCTTGGAGTCCACCTGTACCCCCAGATCTTGTTCACACACATTTTGTTGTTGTTGTTCAGTCGCACAGTCGAGTCCGACTCTTTGCGACCCCATGGACCAGATCACGCCAGGCCTTCCGGTCTTCCACCGTCCTCTGAAGTTTGCTCAACTTCATGTTCGTTGCATCTATGACACTGTCTAACCATCTCATCCTTTGCCATTGTCCCCGTCTTCTTTGACCTTCAGTCCCAGCATCAGGGTCTTCTCCAGTGAGTGCTCCCTTCTCATTTGGTGGCCAAAGTATTTGAGCTTCAGTTTCATTATCTGGCCTTCCAGGGAACAGTCAGGGTTGATTTCTTTGAGGATTGACTGATTTGTTCTTCTTGCAGTCCAAGGGACTCTCAAGAGTCTTCTCCAGCACCATAGTTCAAAAGAATCTATTCTTCGGCGCTCGGCCTTCCTTATAGTCCAACTCTCGCAGCCATACATGACTACTGGGAATACCATTGCTTTGACCATGCGGATTTTTGTTGGCAGGGTGATGTCTCTACTTTTTATCATGCTGTTTAGGTTCGCCATCGCTTTCCTCCCAAGGAGCAGGCGTCTTTTAATTTCATGGCTGCAGTCACAGTCTGCGGTGATCTGGGATCCCAGGAACGTGAAGTCTGTCACTACTTCCACAGCTTCCCCTTCTATTTGCCAAGGAGTGATGGGGCCGGATGCCATGATCTTAGTTTTTTTGATGTTGAGCTTCAAGCCCACTTTTGCGCTCTCCTCTTTTACCCTGAGCAAGAGGCTCTTTAGGTCCTCTTCGCTTTCTGCCATTAGAGTGGTATCGTCTGCATATCTGAGGTTGTTGATCTTTTCCCCAGCAATCTTAATTCCCGCTTGTGATTCATCCAGGCCAGCATTTCGCATGATGTACTCTGCATATATATTAAATAAGCAAGGTGACAATATAGATCCTTGTCGTACTCCTTTTCCTATGCTAAACCAATCAGTTGTTCCATATCCGGTTCTAACTGTCGCTTCTTGGCCCTTATACAGGTTTCTCAAGAGACATGTGAGGTGGTCTGGTACTCCCATCTCTTTAAGGACCTGCCATAGTTTGTTGTGATCCACACAGTCAAAGGCTTTAGCATAGTCAATGAAGCAGAAGTAGATGTTTTTCTGGTACTCTCTTGCTTTCTCCATAATCCAGCAAATGTTGGCAATTTGATCTCTCGTTCCTCTACCTCTTCGAAACCCAGCTTGTACTTCTGGTAGTTCTCTATCCACGTACTGTTGAAGCCTAGCTTGTAGGATCTTGAGCATGACCTTGCTAGCGTGTGATATGAGTGCAATTGTGCGATAGTTTGAAGACAGTCATTTCCCACACACATTAGAAGATAGTTTCCCACACACATTATAAGAGAGTTAATTAGCATTTTATTGACTGCAGCCAAAGCAGCAATGGCTGGCACTTGGGAAGCTACTAAACCACCCACAGTCAGTCAGTGGTATGCTATAGTGTGGGATCATTCTTTATTAGAGAAATGTCTAGTATATTTTGATGCAAGTCGTAACGGGACTGGGCTCTACAGTCCATTAGAAAAATGGTCCACATCTTTAGAAAAACTCGACTCTGACAAAATATAAGGAGAACTTGTTTCATCAGCTGATAGCAACACTTTTATATGCGCATAATGGTGGATAGAATGCCAGTTTGGTGTAGTGGCTAAGTGCGGGGACTCTAATCTGGGAGAACCGGGTTTGAGTCCCCACTCCTCCACTTGCACCTGCTGGGTGACCTTGGGCAAGCTGTAGCTCTGATAAGAGCTGTCCTTAAAAAAGAGCAGTTTCTCTCAGTCCCACCGACCTCACAGGGTGTCTGTTGTGGGGAGGGGAAGGGAAAGGAGTTTGTAAGCTGCTCTGAGACTCCCTTGGATAGTGAAGGGCGGGGGTATAAATTCAATCTCTTCTTCTTCTTCTACCTCACATGGTGTCTGTTGCGGGGAGGGGAAGGGAAAGGAGTTTGTGAGCCACTCTGAGACACCTTTGGGTAGTGAAGGACGGGGGGTATAAATCCAATCTCTTCTCTTCTTCATCATCCCTCCAATGGCTTGCCTTCATTCGAATTTTGATGTTAACTAAATCCAGTTGGGTTTATGTGATTTATTAAGATTAAGACTTAACATAAGAACATAAGAGAAGCCAATGTAGGATCAGGCTAATGGCCCATCCAGTCCACCACTCTGTGTCACACAGTGGCCAAAAATACCAGGTGCCCTCAGGAGGTCCAGCAATGGGGCCAGGACACTAGAAGCCCTCCCACTGTTCCCCCCCCCCAAGCACCAAGAAGACAGAGCATCCCCTGCCCCAGACTGAGAGTTCCTATCTATACCTTATGGCCAATAGCCACTGATGGACCTCTGCTCCAGATGCTTATCCAATTCCCTCTTGAAGCCGTCCATGCTTGTAGCTGCCACCACTTCCTGTGGCAGTGAATTCCAAGTGTTAATCACTCTTTGGGTGAAGAAGTACTTCCTTTTATCCGTTCTAACCCGACAGCTCAGCAGTTTCATGGAGTGCCCACGAGTTCTTGTCTTGTGAGAAAGGGAGAAGAGTACCTCTTTCTCTACCTGCTCTATCCCATGCATAATCTTATAAACCTTGATCCTGTCACCCCTCAGCCGTCATTCCTCCAAGCTAAAGAGCCCCAAGCGTTTTAACCTTTCTTCATAGGGAAAGTGTTCCAACCATTATGTACCGTTCTGTGTAAGATATTGTTCAACCTTTATTTGCTGTAGTTCAGAGAGTTAATCTTGGTTGTTTTCTTTTGCGTAACTCTGAAAATCAATAAAATATACTTAAAAAAAAGATCTTGTTCACACACACAGACATCGCTAACCCAGGAGTCCAATTGCTGTGGCCTAATCCTGCCCTCTCCTCGCTTCCCAGTGCCGACGAGCAGTTCTCGGGCTCCATGGAGACCAACGTGATGATCCGCCACGACGGGCAGATCCGGTGGGACTCCCCGGCCATCACCAAGAGCTCCTGCAAGGTGGACGTCTCCTACTTCCCCTTCGACGGGCAGCAGTGCCGCCTGACCTTCGGCTCCTGGACGTACAACGGCAACCAGGTGGACCTCCTCAACAAGCAGGACACGGGGGACCTGACGGACTTTGTGGAGAACGTGGAGTGGGAGGTGCTGGGTATGCCGGCCCGGAGGAACGTCATCGTCTACGGCTGCTGCTCCGAGCCCTACCCCGACGTCACCTACACGCTGGTGCTCCAGAGGCGGGCCTCCTTCTACGTCTTCAACCTCCTCCTCCCCTGCATCATGATCTCCTTCCTGGCGCCCCTGGGCTTCTACCTCCCGGCCGACTCCGGAGAGAAGGTCTCCCTGGGGGTCACGGTCCTCCTGGCTCTGACCGTGTTCCAGCTGCTGGTGGCCGAGAGCATGCCCCCCTCGGAGAACGTGCCCCTCATTGGTAAGGAGGTGTCGGGATTGCCCCAGGCAGAGACCCTCTTCCCGGCCTGCCCGGGGAAAGTTCACTTACTGCGTTCCCGTTGCGGCTCAGAGCAGATGACACGGTGTGAGACGACGCAGTCAAATAGCGACAGACATCCCATGAACAAGGCAACGGGATTACATAGGAACACAAGATAAGCCACTGTTGGATCAGGCCAATGGCGCATCCAGTCCACCACTCTGTGTCACACAGGGGCCAGACATACCAGGTGCCATCAGGGGGTCCAGCAGTGGGGCCAGGACACTAGAAACCTTCCCACTGTTGCCCCCCCCCAAGCACCAAGAATACAGAGCATCCCTTGCCCCAGACCGAGAGTTCCTATCTATTCCTTGTGGCTATTAGCCACTGATGGACCTCTGCTCCATAAGAACATAAGAGAGAAGCCAATGTTGGATCAGGCCAATGGCCCATCCAGTCCAACACTGTGTCACACAGTGGCCAAAAATACCAGGTGCCATCAGGAGGTTCACCAGTGGGACCAGGACACTGGAAGCCTTCTCACTGTTGACCCCCCCCAAGCACCAAGACAGAGCATCCCTTGCCCCAGAGCCCCATCTATACCTTGTGGCTAATAGCCACTGATGGACCTCTGCTCCATATGCTTATCTAATTCCCTTTTGAAGCAGTCCATGCTTGTAGCCGCCACCACTTCCTGTGGCGGTGTTGAGCTTGTTTGAGAAGTTTACACTGTTTCATGGTGGCAGATGAATTCTTTTCTTAACCAGCTGTCTTCTACAGTACATGCCTGACCACAGGCACAGACAGCTTTAAACGGGGATTAGAAAGATTCATGGAGGAGACGTCTATCAGTGGCTATTAGCCATTGGGACTAACGTGAACTGCCACATTCAGAGGCACTAAATGTTTTATCCCATTGCCAGGAGGCAACCTCACGGGAAGGTCTCAGCCTCTCTGCCCTGTTGTTGTTCATCCAGAGGAACTGGTTGGCCATTGTGTGAGACAGGATGCTGGACTAGATGCCATCTATACCTTGTGGCTAAGAGCCCCTGATAGACCTCTGCTCCATAGAAGAACATAAGAGAAGCCAATGTTGGATCAGGCCAGTGGCCCATCCAGTCCACCACTCTGTTTCACACAGTGGCCAAAAATACCAGGTGCCCTCAGGAGGTCCAGCAGTGGGGTGAGGACACTAGGAGCCCTACCACTGTGGCCCCCCCACCGAAGCACCAAGAAGACAGAGCATCCCTTGCCCCAGACTGAGAGCTTCTACCTATACCTTGTGGCTCATCGCCACTGATGGACTTCTGCTCCAGATGTTTCTCCAATTCCCTCTTGAAGCCGTCCGTGCTTGTGGCTGCCACCACCTCCAAAAATCAGGAAAAACTGCAAAGAAAAAGAAGTGTGAGACATGATACGTTACAATGCAAAAAACGGAATTGCAAAAGTAGAAAGGTAAAGGTAAAGGTCTCCCTTGCTCGAAAGCCAGTCGAATCCGACTCTAGGGTTGCGGTGCTCATCTCCGTTTCAAAGCCGAAGAGCCAGCGCTGTCCGAAGACTTTTCCGTGGTCACGTGGCCGGCATGACTAAACACCAACGCTGTGACCTTCCCACCGAAGTGGTACCTACTTATTTACTTGCAATTTCTTGCTTTCGAACTGCTAGGCTGGCAGGAGCTGGAACTAGAGACGGGAGCTCACTCCGTCATGCGGCACACTCGGGTCTCGAACTGCCGAGCTACCAACCTTCCACAGCCTGCAGTTCAGCGTCTTAACCACTTGAGCCACCGCAGCTCCTAAAAGTAGAAAACCACGCAGTAAAAACGAGATAATACCTACAACTCGGTTCCCTTTATGAGGGAGCCTCTTCTCTAGGAGGGAAGGCTGAAGAGTCTCTGGGACTTTTCACTTTACGGCTGTTTTGGATGGTGGGACTGATCTCTGTTGCTGGGGAACCAGTTGTGATTCCAGGAAACGTCCAGCCACCCCCTGGGGGTTATACGAACGTGAGATCACTGGGCAGGTTGGAAGTAAACCAAAAAAACAACAACTGTGATATTGTTATGCGATCTTTTCAATAATTATTATCAAGTGTTTCTATTTGCTTGCCAATTGCCAATCACTTTCCAGTACAAATTACACAAAGGTTTAAAGTGTCCTTGTAAACCAAACTGTCCGTGCTCAAAGTTCCTCTGAATTATACAGCTCAAAGTAGCTTAACACAGTCCTCCTTTGGCGTGGAGGTAAATTCTTCCAAATACCTGATCAAGATTGCATAATAATATCATGGTTGGTTTTCTTTTTTGGAGAGCCAGTTTGGTGTCGTGGTTAGGAGCGTGGACTCTAAACTAGGAGAACCAGGTTTGAATCCTCACTCCTCCACATGCAGCCAGTTGGGTGACCTTGGGTCTGTCACTTCCTTCAGAGCTGTTCTCTCAAGGGCAGTCCTCAAAAGAGCTCTCTCGGCCCCACCTATCTCACTGGGTGTTTGTTGTGGATAGGGGAAGGGACAAGAGATTGTAAGCCGCTCTGAGACTCCTTCGGGTAGTGAAGGGTGGGGTATAAATCCAATCCTCTCCCCCACCTCTCCTCCTCTTCTTCTTCCTCTTCCTCCTCTTCTTCTTCTTCCTCCTCCTCCTCCTCCTCTTCTTCCTCTTCCTCTTCTTCCTCCTCCTCTTCTTCTTCCTCTTCTTCCTCATCTTCTTCTTCTTCTTCTTCCTTCCTAATTTCTTCCTCTTCTTCCTCATCTTCTTCTTCCTCTTTTTCTTCTTCCTCCTCTTCTTCCTCTTCCTCTTCTTCTTTTTCCTCTTCCTCCTCTTCTTCCTCCTCCTCCTCTTCTTCTTCCTCTTCCTCTTCTTCCTCCTCTTCAATTTCTTCCTCTTCTTCCTCTTTTTCTTCTTCCTCCTCTTCTTCCTCTTCTTCTTTTTCTTTTTCCTCTTCCTCTTCTTCTTCCTCCTATTCCTCTTTTTCTTCTTCCTCCTCTTCTTCTTCCTCCTCCTCCTCTTCTTCTTCTGTTTACTTACTGCCTGGAGGTTAACAACCCTAGTTAGGAGGTAATGGGCCCAGCCCCTTCTCTGCCTCAGACCCTCCATCAGTCACCGGCCATGGTCGACCGAGGGCCTGACTCAGCAGGCAGCTGCTTCACATGTCGCTGGGCTGGGTATGCCTTGCGGCGTCCTCAGCTCCACTGAGGCCCTGTGCCATGTCAACCAATGACAGGGCCCCTTCTCTTCTCTCCTCTCCTCTCCTCTCCGCAGGCAAGTACTACATCGCCACCATGACACTGATCACGGCTTCCACCGCCTTGACCATCTTCATCATGAACATCCACCACTGCGGCCCGGGCGCCAAACCCCTCCCCCGGTGGGCCAGGAGGCTCATCCTGCACCACATGGCCCGCATCTTCTTTGTCTACGAGGTTGGGGAGAGCTGCCAGAGCCCCCGGCCAGAGCCGGACCGCCTCCCCCCGGCCCAGGTGGCCAACGGCGGGGGTCCCTGGGGGCTGACCAGAGGCCCGGCCATGGGGGCGTCTCCCCGGGAGGAAGTGCCGGGGCCGCAGCCGGACTGGCGAGAGGGGGGCAAGTATGTGGACCTGGAGCTGGGCGGTGGGGAAGGGCGGGAGGCGCCCAGCTGTGTCAAGAGCCGGTGCCTCTGCCACCACGGCAGCATCCTCAGGAACGTGGAGTACATTGCCAACTGCTTCCGGGACCAGAAGGCGGCTCAGAAACGGACCGGGGAGTGGAAGAAGGTGGCCAAAGTGATGGACCGCTTCTTCATGTGGGTGTTCTTCGCCATGGTCTTCATCATGAGCGTCCTCATCATGGGCCAGGCCGCCTGAGAAGAGCCCATGGAGAGGAAGGCGGTGGTTGGAGGGGTGTGTGTTCTCCCTTCTCATGCATTGCCGGTGGCTGTTCTTGAAAGGGAAACTGAGGCAGCGCTTTCGTAGGGGCCTCTTGCAGTGTGATTGGAGCAGAGGGCCCAGGTACAGTTTGGGTACAGCCCTTGGGCCCATGGGGCGGCACTGCGTTCTGTCCTGGCAATCAATGGTGCCCGGCTGCTTCCGCCAGGGCCTTCTGCCGGCTCACTTGAGATTCCTCGTCTGACAGTTGCCCAAATAGCTGTGCCACCAGCAATCGAGCAGCTCCCTCTTTTCCACAAAAGTATTCTGGACAATGGCCATCATGGACGTTGAGAGGTCAAGATCCGGCACTGCATTCCACATCCTGAAAATCCCATTCTGCCCCCCTCCCTGGGAAATAAACAGCCCCAAGTTTCTAGTCCTTATGGAGACAAGCTTGAACCAGTGTAGATCCTCAGAAGCTGATGGGGAGGGGGGTGTCAAGGGAAAAGCCTTCTGTTCTCTGTGACTCCTGGTCCTTCTTCGTTGGCCAGGGGGACAGAATAAATTATGCAACTATACCCAGATTGTATTGCATGTGATTTGGACAATTTATGCAGGTTGGGAACAGAATTCAGCTTCATTTTTTTTAAGCTGGGCGCAGAGTCTTTGGGGATGGGTTCTTTCACCATCTAGGCCCATTTCTTCTTACTGAGGAGATGACCTTTCTGGGCAAAAAGCAGGGGTTTGTGTATGATTCCATCTGATCCTCTGTACAAAATAATTCCTTCCACACAGAAACCAAGCATGCCAGTGCTGAGGTCCTCACCTTTTTAAGCCTGTGGGCATCTTGGCATTCTGACATAAGAGTGGTGGCACAGCCACAGAATCGACCATGAGATAGTTGCTACAGGAGGTGGAGCCAGCTACAAAACAGTTGCTCAAGATGGCCTTGAGTCACTCAGTGGAGATCCTTGTGCCATGGAGGCAGCTGCTGCCAAAGCAATGTTTTTTAAAACCTGCACAGCCAATCAGAAGCCTTGCTTGGTAAGAACCTATCTGGCTCTTGCTCACTTTCTAAAAACACTTGGTGGGAGCCAGAAAAGGTGCTGGGGGACCCTGGGCTAGGGAGATGGGTGGATTAGAACTCTTCTCCCTGCTGAGCTAGCTTTCTTTGTGGAAGGCTTATTTTTGCCTGGAGGCACAATCTGTTTGGGGGAAGGCTGACTCAGTGCTGGGTCGGTATGGGGCTGCCCCACTGAACATGCCGGCACTGACCTACGCTTCTATCCCAAACGCTCAACCCATCAAGTAGCTCCCTATCAGAAACAGAAAATTTAAAAAGATGAAAACATAAAGACAAGCTCAACATTGGGCAGCCCGAACAATGGGAACTCCCAGTTAACAGTCCCAACCTGTGACCACAAAGCCACATTCTACCCCCCCACCCCTGAATTCTAAGGCTGAGCGAAGAGGAACCGTTGAGCCTGGTACCTAAAATGAGCTGGAGAAACCTGCACAGGAAGGGAGTTCGACAGGTGTTTCTCACCCATAACCCTGGTTGTCCTTATAAAGTTACGTGACGAGAACAGAAGCTGCAACACCACTATGAGAATGCAGAGTTGTGGGGGGTGTGGGGGGTGGAATGTGTCATCAAGTCGCAGCTGATTTATGGTTGACCCCATAGGGTTTTCAAGGCAAGAGTGTTGGGTGATAGTGAGGTATTGAAAAAATGGTATTTAGCAGAGATAAGATGGTCCAGCAAAGCCAGAGTAAAATAATTCAGACTGAGAGTCCAGGTGTGATTAAAATATAATTTTTTTTACTAAATTCTAGCATGGGGAAGGGGTAACTGGGATGAAAATAACAACAGAGCATAATCGGCTACATCGTTACTCTACAAAGACAAAACTAGAAGAGAGGAGAGAGTATGGCTGCTCTTCTTGTTTCTTCAGAAAACCAAACAAAGACGGGAAGAGAAGCCATGAAATGGTAATACACCTTGACACTTTAGTCCCAATCAAATTCCTAGATCAGGGAGAAAATTCCCGGGCATCCTACAGCTAAAGAACATTGGTTACATGAGAAACATGTGACTTCCTGTGAGTAACATAAACAAACATTTAACCCCAGATATACTGAGTGTTTCCAACTTGTTGTTGTTGTTCAGTCGCA